TGTGTGCATTGAATTTATTTAATACACGAGTTTCACAATTTGAGTTGAATTACTGAAATAAATGAACTTTTCCACGACATTCTAATTTATTGAGATGCACCTGTATATATTTGTTTGATATATAAAAATAAAATTTGTAAACTTAAATACTAAATTAATTGAATGCTTATGAGTTATTATAGTTAATTGAAACTAACACAAAACCATAAAAAAAATCGTAAAGTAAAATAAAATAAACGTTAACTGAAATAAAATGTACACTGCAAAAAAGTGAATTTAATGGTAAAAGACTGTAAAAATGCTACAGTAAAATCCTGTTAAATGGTTAACGGTAAATTCCCCTACTATATACGGTGAAAAACTGTACATTACATGTATTGGACATTAATTTTATGGTAGTATACCGTTTTTGGAAGTGAAAAATACTGTATAATTTACAGTGAATAACCGTAAATTGACATTCCCAGAATTCCCTGCGTTACATTTCAAATTTGATGTTTTTTTGTTGAAATAACTTATGTTTCTTTTTAGTTTTTTCTTATCAGTTTTGTATATTAGGGTTGTGTGTTACACCTAATGTTGTTAAATGAATGTTTATTGCATTATTTCAGTTTCATGTGTGTTACCATGATGGTGTTTAGCGTTTGTGTGAATGACACTGTGCACCTTCTATATATTTTATTATTTAAAAGCTGCTTGTGATAGGCTTTGGTTCATTGTGTGACTTTCTCATCACCACCTGCATAATACAAAGGTACAAAACAGATTTCAGTACTTCAATAGGTTGGTATATTAACATTATATCAGCTAATGAAATTACGGTATTTAACTGTAAATTTAAGTTAAAACCGTAAAACCTAAAACGTTGCTACCGTATTTTTTATGTTAAAAATTTTTACCGGAATTTTTTTTTACAGTGTGGTAACGTTTAAAAAACGTTAGACTAATGTCCAACTAAACTGTTTCAGAGAAAACATTCAAGAAACAATATTTCTATGCTAACATTTTGAAAATATTATTAAAGACCAGTTAACTTTGAATGAACGATCTATCAATGTTACTAAAAGAATGTTTGTAACATTGAGAGAACCCTACCAGAACATTAGCCTGTGGTATTGAGGTATATACCCAGCTAGGGAATGTTCTCAGAAGTTTGGCTCATGTTCTGGAAAGGTTCTCTTAAAGTTATGAACAAAGATTCCTCGAGTAGCATTAATAGAACATCCATTCAAAGTTATCTGGTCTTTAATTAATGTTCTCAAAACCTAAGCACAAAAACATTATTGACATGGAACTTTTTTATTTAACATTTTAGTTGGACGTTCTTTTAATTTTTTTTTTTTTTTATGTTCTTCAAAAGTAACGTTACCATAATGTTCACACCTTCACAAAATGGAATGCTTCTTAATATTTGCATAACCAAGAAGAACATTTTAAAAATATTTTAAAAAGTATAAATTTTTGAACATTTTGCTAACATTCCCATTAACTTATGAAAATGTTACTTCTGAATGTTAGCAAAATGTTTTTAGAATGACCTTTACACCATTCGGACAGTAGCCATACGTCTGCGTTTAATCACTTCCTCTGAATGGTTATTTCCTGTGTAGCTGTTACATCCCACAATGCACCAGAAATAGAACTGAGAAGTGCAACCACATGCATCAAACAATAAAACAAAAAATACTGCAACAACATTGCAGCAAAAATATAAATAAGTCCTGAAAAACCACCACAAGACCTGTGATTTTTATTTGCAGGACAAGATAGAGTGCAATATGAGTTTTAAAGGCACCAACCCAACCACTTTTAGAGCGGTTGGACAATGTGTGCTTTAGTCTCTGCAAGATAACCATATCCAGATATATCCACGGCAGCCCTACTTCTTCAGCTTAACCTCTTCTGTAACGCACACAAAGAAACAGTGACAGAGGCCCTTAGAAGCCACGTGCATTCATAGAAATTGCAATGATTTGCACCCTCTGTGTGGTAGTCAAAACTAACACAGCCCAGCTCTCGGAAACCAGCAAACTCTTGATGCTAGAAAGAGTCCAGTGCAGCAAGAGGAAGTTGAGACGGCTAAATAAACAGGGGGAATTACACTAAGACACTAACAGGAAAGCTGATCCTTCTCTTCCTTCTTGTAATCTTTCATGACGTATTTCTCTACAGTCAAATCTTCTGTTCAATCTGAAAACATTAACATACTCAGCTACCAAAAATTGTTCCATGTTTTGCTAATGTTCCCATGAAAATGTTATTTATATGTTCTCCGAGTTTTTTATATGCTTTAAAAAGTTTTTTTTTTTTTTTTGCAAATATTAAAGGGATAGTCAGTGGTGTAATGTAACGAAGTAATAATACAGTCAGGAGGTTAAAGAGCTGGCTGTCTGGTGCAGTCTCAACAACCTGGAGCTCAACACTGTGGAGATGATAGTGGGCTTCAGGAGGAACCCCCCTGCTCTCCCTCCACTCACCATCATGGACAGCACTGTGACTGCAGTGGAGTCATTCAGGTTCCTGGGCACCACTATCTCTCAGGACCTGAAGTGGGACACTCACATTGCCTCCATTGTGAAAAAGGCCCAGCAGAGGTTGTACTTCCTTCGCCAGCTGAGGAAGTTCAACCTGCCACAGGAGCTGCTAAAACAGTTCTACTCCGCCATCATTGAATCCATCCTCTGCACTTCAATAACTGTCTGGTTCACCTCAGCTACCAAATCTGACCTCAGAAGACTACAGAGGGTAGTCCGGACTGCTGAGCGAATCATTGGTACAACCCTCCCTTCTCTCCAAGAACTGTACTCATCCAGAGCGAGCAAAAGGGCTGGCAAAATCCCCTCACATCCAGCACACTCACTCTTTGAACTGTTGTCATCTGGTCGACGCTACAGAGCTCTGAGCACCAGAACGACCAGACACAGGAACAGTTTCTTCCCTCAGGCAATCCATCTCATGAACACTTAACAATAACTGT